AAGGCTACACAATAAGATCCTTCTTGTACACCTTCCCTCTTTTTGGCAGTCAACAAATTGGGTGCATTTAAGCCAGAGATCAAGACCATTGTCTTTAATGTCAATCTTGGATTTATATAATTGCTTTTGAACTGCATTGATACCCTTTACTTTCAGCTTCCAGAAATGTCTGTGGTAAGGACTTGCCCAGATGAACTATTGGTCTTATCTCTTTTAACCTTCAGCAATGGGACTTCATGTATGTGTGTCTTTATTTCCAAAGCTAATGGAAAGAAATATAGTAAAGCCTTTACAAAGATTTTTATTTTTTTTTTAAGGATTCTGGTTTTGAGACTGACTCAGAAAATGGAGAGCAGGATTCTTTTTCTCTACTACTAAGTTTTTACAGGGATAATTCAACTGAAACTTGAGGGGCATAAGGGGAAGCCTGCTTGGTCTGTTCTTGGTCTGTCAGAAATGGCATTTGTTGCTCTCCAGGGTATTTTTTAAGTCACATCTTTTTTTTTTTTTTTTTTAAATCTCTTTTTTTGTGTGTGTTTGCCAGTGTAGGTATATATGTGGCCAGACCTTTTAATTTATGTGTTCCATTTTGTTTGAAAATTGATATTGGAAAGATGAACTTTGTTAGATATTTTTTTAATTTATTCCAAGATTTAGTAAAATCAGGGTAGCCACTGTCCCATTATTATATTTCCCTTTCTTCAATTTCTTTGTTGAACCTCTTTTCATTGAAATTTTGTTGAATATTAATAACTGGGCATGTTCATTGGAAGCTCAGTTCTGATAAATAATTTTATGCCTTTAAACATATAAATTAGGCTATATGCTGCTGTGGTTCTATAAAATACTTAAAAATACAGTTTTGCTTATAGGTGATATGCTAAATTTTTGCCAAAATTGGTAAAAGATTAATTGTGCACTATTGAACTAGCCTCTTTAAGTATTGAAAATCATAGTAATAATACATTTTTCTGGAAAATACATTTAATAATATTCTTACTATATGCTAAGATACAATGATGTTGTGTTTACTAATTGGGTCTCTAAAACTAGTGTATTTTTTACTTTTATAAAACGTGTTTGGTTTTGTTAGTCTCTAACTCCTTAGAAAAATTTTCTTCAGTCTTTAATTCTCAGCTCTCATTGAGCTCTTTTCCCTTTTTTTAATATTCTTTGCCGATAGCAAGGGTCAAGAAACCAGGCCACACATGGGATGTGGCTGAACATTTACAAGACTGAGATACACTGCAGAAAATGTTCTCTCAACAGTTTCATTTGCTTTTTGGCAAGTTCTGCAAGCAGTTGTGTGGATGCTTCCAATATTTTGTCCTGGTGTTTTTATATTGGCTTCTTGCCACTTTCCCAATATTTCACTGGTTCCTAATCCTTTCTAGCCCCTTCAAAATTTAGTCCAAATACATCAACTTGCAAGTCAGATATCTTTTATGTAAATATAGTTAATTGATGCAAAAGTAATTAAAATTAAAACACATAACTTCTAGCTACAGGAACAGCATGTTTTTCATATCCCAGCTCATGCATGTATGGCCACAGGCAGCTCCATATGCTTCATATGTTTATTTCTGAGCTGTGCTGACCCTATTAAATGGGAAAAACGTTTGTAATTATGTAATAGTAATTAACAAGGACAATTCTACATGGTGTAACTAAGCGTATCAGTTCTCTATCACTAAAACATTGACAGTATCAAGAAAATAAAATACAATTACAACCCTGGAAAAAATGAGTTCTTAATTAACATATACCTTTTTAATTGGGAAGAGGGTATTGACTGCTTTTCAGTTCATGCACGTCATCTTCCTGGTAGATCATCTTTCCAGGAGTACTCTTAGTTACTCTTAGGAGTACTCTTGCCATATTTTGTCTTACTTGTCTGTTGTTTTTTTTTTAAGAAGAGAACCTACCTGCTTTGTTTTGGTGGCTAGCTCTTTGCATAAAACCTGAGTAATGTGATATAAAATTTGAAGCTTACTACCCTGTAATAATTCATGTGGAGAACTCTGGGCTTTGTTACTCATTCAGACCAAGCCAGAAAGCTTTGCATTTTTCTGATGTAAAGAATTTTTATAAGTACTACATAGAATGAAAGTAATATAAATACCATAACTTAAAATTCTGTGTAAGTATATGAAGAATGTATGCCTGAGTACTTCTTAAACTTGCATTATTTGCTTCAGTAAGTTTTGTCATATATACTAATCCTGCTGCCTTGTTTCCATAATTCTGTCTAAAATAGCTGGAAAAAGAAAAAAATAAAAAATTGAAGCAACTGATAACATAATGCAGAAACTGTGCAAAAATGGATTGAAAAAGCTCATCAGGGAGCAAACATAGTATACTACTGTAAGATTGGGCACATACCAAATTACATTGTACTGAAGTTTTGTTGGCTCAAGTGCAGGGAAGGCTTTTTTTTCTAGTTATATTTGGTTAATAATTGTATCTGAAGCAGTCAATAGAGAATCTGAAAACTTCAGTACATTTTAGTAATACAGATCTTATCAGTATCGAGTTAATTTTCAGTGAAAATTTATATTAATTTAATGATAATTAATGAATATTTTCTCAGAATATGTTTGCTTTGTGCTGCCTAGCTTCCTAATGGTCAGTGAAATTAAAGTTGGATTTTCATTGGTTTTCATTCCAGAAAGGTGAAAAAGGAGATCCAGGCATTCGAGGGAACAATGGGCAAAAAGGAGAATCCGGTATCCAGGGTTTGATTGGGCCTCCTGGTCTCAGAGGTCAGCCAGGAGACAGAGGACCCCCAGGGCTACCTGGATCAGATGGAAAACCTGTATGTATAAGATCTCAAACTTGTCATTTTGGGTACCATAAAAACCCCAAGCCATGCTTGCTCTCTGTTTTTTTTTTAACTGTTCTCTGTTCAATACAGGCACGAGAATTTTCAGAAGAGTTTATTCGACAGGTGTGTTCAGATGTACTGAGAAGTAAGTTTGAAAGCCTCTTTACTGTTCTTTCTTTGTTTAAAGTACGAAAGAAGTTTCCTGATAATCGTAAAGATGCATTCTTGAAAACAAGATCAATATTGATGATTTATCACTTGTTTTCCTTCAGATATGGAAATATATTTTCGCATTGTGGGTTCCAGAATTCACCATCTTGTTTCCTAAAGTTATTATTTTCTCTAAAGAGAAGAAACTGATTTTTTATTAGTGGCTAGTGGGCAATATTTTAATATTTTCTTGTTACAATACTCTAAGCAATTTTTTGTTTTAATTGTCCCAGCCCAGTTGCCTGCTATCCTTCAGAGTAGAAGGCTACAAAACTGTAACCACTGTCAATCCCAAAGTGCTTCTCCAGGACTTCCAGGACCACCAGGTCCAAGAGGCCCTGAAGGCCCAAGAGGATTTCCTGGTTTACCAGGAAACGATGGCATTCCAGGGCTGACAGGCATCCCAGGTCGCCCTGGGGCTCGTGGGACAAGAGGTACTGCATGCATGAATCACGGTGCTAATGGCCTTTATGACTTTGCTTTCTGCTTCCAGTTTGGAATGGGATTAGTGCAGGGAGGAATAGAGGAATGGCTGGGTTTATATCACAAAGTGCAATTGAGGACATGGTGCAATGTGAATGTTCCATTGCTTACGAAGAATGCATGTCAGAAGAGAAAATGCAAGAACAAAACAAGATAGCTAGTGTTCAGCTCTACTGTATTCAGACTTTGTTTTGATCTTTTTAGGGAGTTCTTATTCTCATGGAAATATTTTAACTTAATTTAGATTGTTTTTTTAGATGAAATATGCTTAGATGGGGGTTTCAATATTTTCTGGTTTACCTTCTTCCAGATTTCTTTCTTTCTGCTATTTCAAAGAACAACATTCACTGGCTATTTATTATATGTTACCCTGTAGGCTGATTTTTGGCATGTGACAACCTTTTTACTTCTTCTGATTTCCTCCTTTTTTGCTTGTTTTGTTTTTTTATCTTATAAGGCTTTTTGATAATTGCTTTATGCTTTTTAAGCAAAGCACAAAACATTCTGGTTTCTTTTTAGGCAAGCTAAGTTTATGCTTCCAGGTAACTCATCCATCCAAAAGTTCCAACTGCTTTCTGTGATGTATTTTCAGACTTTAAGTTAAGTATGCATATACAATCTAGAACTAGACCAGGAGGATTGGTGAAGTTCCTAATATGGTAACTGGCCCCATCACCACCTCTGTTTCCTTTAACATCAAAATAATCAGGAAAGCTGTATGAAAACCAGCTAACTAGTAACATTCCAAGGGTAGGCAGGCAAACGATTAGTAAAGATTTATTTTCTTTGTCACTTATTGACTGTGACCTAGCTCATCAAATTAATTTTAAATGCATTTATGATTTGTCTGTAGTACTTTTATAATTTCATCTCCAATAGGAGAATGTGCAATTTTCAGCTGGAGCTGACACTAACAGTTCTGTCTATTTCATAAGAGCTGGAAAAATAGATATCTTTTTCTGTGAAGAAACTTATTTGGTTGTACTAGTGTAAGAGAGCACATTTTGCCTCTCTCAGTATTTCTTTGGTGGAAATTTAATTATGCCATGCATTGCAGAAGATAGACTATATAATCTGTATTCCACAGGGATTGTGGTGAATACCTTGCACTTCCTTCATAAAACTTCTTAAACACTTTGCCAATGGAAAGTAATGACAACAAATTTCATAACCGCTCATTATCTGTTTCCTCAGCTTATCGTGGCTGTCTGCTTCACAGGTGCTGCACCAGCTCTTAACTCAGTAGAAATGAGGATAATTTAGAACCGGGTTAAACTCTGCAGATTGCAAGGCAATGCTCATTTTACATCTCGTTATTTGCTTTTGAACTACTATGTGTTTTATTCAATAAGTATTATCAAATGCTGACTTCCTCATTCATTTGATGAAAATATTCTTGTGTGCAAAGTTCTAGATGTGTTTGTGTCTAATGTGTCTAATTCACAGGACTGCCAGGAAAGAATGGCGCAAAAGGCAATCAAGGAATTGGGGCTCCTGGGATTCAAGGTCCCCCAGGACCTCCAGGTGAGAGATGGTTCAGCTGTGCAGATTCAGTGCATGCTAATAATTTCCAAGAATTGTTGTTTAGAAAAAGTGTAAATATGATTGGGAAAAACCTAGATAGCTTTTACACATCTTCTGTCTCTTAATCACCATGTATGATTTATGGCTCATGCCTGTCTCTTGCATGCATTTAAAGTTGTCATATAATACATTCTTTAGTGTAAAATGGGTCTTGTAGAGACTGGTACCTGTGACTGCCATTTCTTGCTAGATGGCCATTATCTGAAAATTGAGCCCTGTTATACATGACTGTAAGCATTTCTTAGGGAAGGAAAATATTCTTCCTAACAGCACTGTATTCCTGCAAAATGGGGTATTTGGAAGAAATATTAGGGCCTGATCCAGAGCCAGAGCAACAAACAGAAATAAGAGGAGTCTGATTCGTGCCATAGTGGTTCCAGATTATATTACAAAGTATAATAGGGTATTAAAGTAGATCTTTAGATTTCCTTTTAAAAGCTGTTTTATTTGTATTGTTTTCCATGTGCTTAAAAAAAAAAATCTTAATAAGCTATTGTGTTGTCTGTATAAACATATAGACCCTTTGTGACAATAATTGTGTTTTTCAGTTTTCTTTGGCTGCTTACTTCACCAAAAAGCAGGGGATTTTTGGGTCCATATTTTTATTTTAATAAAAATACTCTGTAATGTGTTTCTCTATTGCACGTGTGTTCTTAAGGTCCTGAAGGTCCGCCGGGTATGAGTAAGGAAGGACGTCCTGGAGAGCGTGGGCAACCTGGTAAAGATGGAGATCGTGGCAGTCCAGGAATGCAAGGACCAGTTGGACCCCCTGGAATTTGTGACCCATCACTATGTTTTAGTATAATCGTGGGGAGAGATCCGTTTCGAAAGGGACCAAATTACTAATTTGTGATACAGTAATTTAGAGGAATAGGTGTGGTGCTTGTCTTTTGTGGTCTTTCAAGTCTCAGGAAGGTGACCAGCAATAACCATATAAGCAGAAGCAAAAGTACCTCTGATATTATAAACATTACAAATAATGATCTCAAAGGTTTTATGTTCCTTAGAGAAGAAATTTCATTTCTTTAATATAACTTAACATCGATTGAATCTTAAGTGGTTTTTGAAGAGAACAGCAGTTTTAATAGGACTAAAATTAACTACAATATTTGGTATTTAGTAAGAGTCTCACACTCCTGTTACCACTGAAATCCTTTGCAAGATTGCTGGACATGCCACTGAGGAGCAGGACTAGACCTAAAATTATATTGGTCAGGTATAAATTACTGTGAAATTTTTCACATGCAGCCGACATATGCAATATTTGATTTTGAAAGAATGTGGCTGGCTTTGACTTCATATGTGTGTGAATCTCACTGGCTTGTGTACATTTCATATGTCACGGTTCCAAATGTTCTGTGAGCAAAAGCATATATCAGATTTTTATAAATTAAGAAAAGTATCTGGACTTATTGGAATTAATATCACCTATTTTGCTGTGCAGCTCTTTGCTTAAAACCAAGGTGAAATGCAAGGCTAGAACTCTACTGGTTCAAGACAGGCCAAAGTTTTATTGAAGGTATAAAAGGTTCCATGTGGGTGATTCAGTTTATATGAAAATAGCATTACAAAATAAAAAATAGCAAACTGGTATAGCTGCTTTATAGATATGATTTGACAAAAAAAAATAATATTAAAAATGTTTGCACAACCCCAACGTAGCAGTTCTGCATAATTAAGTACTAACTTATATACCTTTTACTGTTTCTCCCCAAGGACTGCAGTTGCCAAATTGAAGATGCAGGTTTACTAGGAGAAAGGTCTAACTGCTGGCTGACTAGCTGTAATGTTTCTTATGCTGTTTCTTTTTTTAATGTTAAGCAAGCTATGTGTAATTTTCATCGTACGCTTTGCTGATTAGTTGTATTGCTTGCTTTTACATGAAGAGCAAAGGCACAGTTCCCATGAAAATTGACATTGCATTTCTTAAATTAAGGTAGTCTTGTATTGAACTTAACCAATGCTTTATAAGTGGCTTTCTCTAATGTGTTGTTTTTACGTTGTCTTCTATCAGAGATTGGTAATATGCTTGACATTCAAGGTAAAATAAAATTTTGTAAAGAACTGGTGGTACTTGGAGTGATTGAAAGAGTGACCTGTGTCCTGTGTCACAGCAGAGTGGTGACTATAACTCATGGAGGGATAGTTCCACCTTGCAGCTGCACTTTCTTTCCCCAACACCCTTCCATTTCTTCTGGAAAAAGCACCATCTCCAGGAACAGCACCTTCCTCCTGCGCTCCCACAGAGCTGCACTGTGCCCAGTGCTGCCTGCCCAAAGCAGTGGCCCACAGAAGTGTGTTTGCAGTGAGTAGCTTAGCCAAACCACAGCCTTGGCTGTGGTGGAGAGCAATCATTAGCATCTCATAAAACCTAGTCTAAAAACCTCCAAAATTATTCTTGAAAGACACTGATTTGGAATTGAGAAGGGAAACTGTGCCTGAGGTTTTGTCCCCAGAGAAGTGTTCCTCTTGTGAATCTCATATTTTTCTGCTTCTTATTATGTTGCATTCAGTTTCACACTGTTTATTTTTTTTAGGCTGGAAGTGAAACATACTGCTAGGTCAGGAAGGAATCAAGATCCCAGTATATTTGTAGAGCCTTTCTGAATTGTCTGCACTCCCTGATCATTTTAATCCATGTTTAAGACACCTTCTCCAGTAAGATGTATGATGGTGTGACTGGCGGGCCTGGGGGGAAGCAAAAATAAAAAAAAGCAAGTCAGAAGGACCTCTGACTGCAGCAAATACAAATGGTAACCCAGAATCCCTTACTTTTAGAATATCCTGGTATTTGTTTTAATTATAATTTAAAATAACATACATTCTTCCACATCAGAAGCATGGTGGAAAATTTGGAATTTAAAAAAATATTTCACTTTTTTTGGCATTCATTTGGGCAAGACATTTCCTTCTATATGCAAACGTTTCAGTTTTATCAAAAGGAAAAGAAATTTTATTGTAATGCATTTGACAGGAAAGAAATCTTGATTCATCAGCCTGTCTGATTTTTGGTACCTTAGTTTACAATTTCACTTAATCAAATTCACACATATATCAAGCTTCAATTTTAAAAGTAGTTGTGGTTTTCTTATCCCATTAGTCCTACTGGACTCTTTTTTTCTGAATGATTCTGACGGAGGATCTATATGTAATTTGCAGTCTGACCATTTTGTATGCTTTTATTCTTATGCTAACGTTGTCTTTAGCTTGAGTTACTCCTTTTTATGTCTTCTTGAAAACCAGTCTTCCCTGACAACCTTTTGTTTGCTAGGTTAGACAAGCAAACCTTTTATTTTCCACCTATTTGAAAGGCTCTCCAATCCCTTTCAATCCTTGTAGATCCTCAGTTTTTTGAGGGGGAATGAGTAATTTTAGAAATATGTCTATAATTCTAGGTAAAGAACCTCAGTCGTACCTCGGTGATGTCAATACTTACTCAAAAGATTTAGCTCTGTTTATCTTCTCATTTTCTTAATTATTGGATAAGTTATACAAGAGTCATTTAGGTCCATAGTATTATCCATATCTACTCCCTCTTCTATTTTGTAACAGATGAACTCCTATAGGATGGGGTAATTCAGGCTAGAAGGTATCTCAGCTTAAATTAGATATACTTATTTGTTCTTAGATATATGAACTTGCGGTTTTTGGCACTGCATTTCAGAGCTTTTTTACTCTTCTAATTGCAAACTAATTTCTTATGTATTCTGATCTTCCTTTCTTTTGATCCAGTCTTCATCATCATGCCCCTACTTTTTGTGTCAAGGTCACTACAGAAAACAGTACTGTTGATCCACAAACCAGTTCTCAAAGCAATCTACTTCTTATCAATGCCAATATTTCCCTTTCAATATCCCTAATCTTGCTTATTTACTTCTTAGTTTTATTGTTTCCATAATTGAAATCCTGTGTCTTAATCTTATTTTTTTTTGGCTACACCAATAAATTAGAAAATTTTACTTTTCCTCTGCTGCTTCTGGTGCCTAAGGTAGCTCAGTCTGGTCTAGCACAATTTTTTCTGCACAGTGCTGCTGAAAGAGCACAGTCTCAGCTAGTGCATGTTTTTGTTACAGCTTGAAAGCAAAATCTCATGTTGGAGCTCTTTCACATTGTATAATAAGATAGCAAGAAAGACTGACTTTGGAAACTAAATAATTAAGAGACTTCAATGAATTTAAGACAAATGTCAAACTCTTGATCTGCAAAAGGACCATATTTGCAGCTGAATCTGTTTGATTGCCTTAACTGCTCAGTTGTTTGGATGCTTTGAGCTTCATTACTGCTATATCTGGTATTTTGCTCTGAATTTGAGTCTGGGAACCTGTCACATTACTACAAAAAGGATTTGTTTTTGACAAGATGGAACTTTCCAGAGGAGATGCTAACCATCTAAGCTGTGCAGGTGCATTTTTTAAAGCTAATACCTACGTTGCTTACTTAAATGAAGTCAAACACTTTGAAAACCTAGTTCTATATGATTAAAATAGCCAGAAACTATTAGCAAGTGTCTTGACTCCCATTCAAATAGATAAGTTATAGCCTAGGAATTGTGATTCAGATATTGCTTCTTAAAGGATTTTATCCAGACAGTATTTAGCTGACTTCAAAAGACTTTAATTTTCTGACTTAATCTGATATAGTGGGATTATGCAGTAAATTTGGGTGGGTTCAAGATCATATATTCCTTTGATCCTTTAACTGAAAATTAATATTTTACTGAGCTCTTCGACTAATTCTGAAGTTAGAGTCTAAACAAATGGTATAAACTTGAATATTATCAGGTTAATGATCCACAAGTGAGAGAGTCTTATTTAGTATTTGTGCAAACTGTAGGAGGTTCTTGTGGGTGTTGATCTGCAGTTAGAAGCTGTGAATAAAAGAAGTCACTGTGAAATGTTACTATCTATCTACCAGATATTGTCTGGAAACAGTTAGGAGAAATTCTGTTAACTGACATTTACTGACTCTCCTGATGACAGTTTTAAAACTGTATCTTGGTCTAATTTTTAAGCAGAGGGTAAGATGGAAAAAGAATTTCTAGACTCTTTTTAGTAGCATCCTATGGTGTGACCTTGAGTTAAAGAATATACTCCCTGATTGGTCTAGTGCCTGTTGGTGTCAGTAGAGGAACAGCCATTCAAGACCCCAAGTTTTGAATACAGTTTCAACTCATAATATCTCTTTGTGTGTAAAAGGGATGTTAAGTTTACTGCTTTACTATGTCCATTGATTGCTACTGCCTCTTAGATACTGAGGCATATACATGAATTGCAAAGTATTACTGTGGGAATGGAATTTCTTAATGTAAGCTTAGTGCTGTGTGGAGCTCAGCAGTTTGCACCTCTGAGAATCGTGATCTTCTCAGAGAAGTTTGGAGTAAATACATATGGAGTGATGTGCCTGTATATACATATATCTAATTTAGTAAAAGACCAGATGTCACAGATGGCTTCCACATGTGCAGATTTATTTGGTGAATATATACATGTAGATATGGTATGTGTGTTATATGTATGTATACTTCTCAGTTCTTCGTTTGTTTAACTGAAAGATATCATAGTCTTCCAATTAAAAATGAAAAAGTAAAAGAGTAAAATTTAGTATTATAAGAACTGAAACATCACAGTTCTGCTGCTGCTTCAGAGCCAAGGTGTCACTGTCAACTTCAGGCATAGCCAGTATATTTCAGGGTTGGTTGGAGGAGCTGAGAATCGTTAGCTGTGCATCGTTCAGAACTAAAGAATCTCATTTCTCAGGAAACTCAAACTGCATTAAAGTGAAATTTCCTGTTGGTGCGTCTGACTGGACTAGCAGTGAACACTGTCAGGATCTGTCATTATAGTTCACACAGATTGAATCAAACCCCTGTGGAAAGAGACTATAATATTTTCCTGTGGGGGGAAAACATAGATAAAT